GCCCGTCTCAAACGATGCATAAGCAGGGCCACTAAACGATAATTGGAGTGTGAAGGCAGCGTGTGATAATGATCCAGTGCTGGAGACTCAGCATGTAATGATACATTCTCCCCCCCCCCTCCACACCTGCCCCCACCCTTCCCACATCACCCCTCCCCCCCTGAGAATTGATGACTTTGGGTGCAATTTAATTTAAGAATAGTAAATGTCTAATTTTTACCACCTCGTTTGCATTGTTTCTCGTTTTTTTCTCATTTGAACAGTTTTTTTTCCACTTCTCTAGCCTAAAGATATAGCATTATATTGTTCTCACGTAAATTTCATAAACGTCAGTAACCATTTGTTAAATTCACGTAATAATCAGTTTCCATCATTGAATCATTGCTCAATGTCGACTGAACACCCACCACACGAGTTCTCCCAGGAATTCTGCGTGGATTGAATGTGCCTGTGATGGAGCATGTACTGATGAGCGGCAGCGAAGCGGTTTAGCGCGCTACGCTACAAACCTGGTGACCGAGATTCAATTCCTTCTAACAGCCAACACCAGTGACGATGATCTGAACGGGTTCTGGGCCTCCTCTAGGTAGACTCGGCCTCAAATGAGTACCTGGTGCGGTGTGTTAACATCGCCACGAGGGAGACAAAGGCGGCCGGGCATGGTGCTGACCGCCCACCCCCTCGTGTGACGTGCCGGCCTTTATAGGTGCTCGCTAACAGCACTTGCCCGAAACATCTGTTAAGGCTATATTTATATTTTTTTTGCTACTTTCATCGCAGTTCACTCGCTCGGTTAATCCTGAAAAGCACTCGGTGTGCTCTGTTGCCTGATGAAACTGGAGGCAGGTGCCACCACTGGATGATATAACAATAAAAACACACCTCATCGACGTGCATACAAGTCTCTATCATGAAATGTCTCCTCGGTGCCGTGAGAAAGGGCAGTTACGAACACCTCGCTCACAAGTGCAGGAGGAGCATGAATCAATACATCGGTTCATCTTTGTTCGATCACCACCACGACCCATGGGGCAGATGGCCCGTAGACGTCCACCACTGCATTTATTTCCACTTTCCTCTGTCTTGTGCCAATATGCTCAAGCAGTGCCACATCCTGCTGGCACCAATCTCTGATGTCGTCAAGCCATATCTCTGGAAGGTCTTCCCTCTCTTTCCGGTTCCTTCCATGTTGCCGAGCACACTTGTCCGATACCATGACACTTTCAGCATTTCTGCCCTATCGAGGTGGACAAATCATGTTTCAATGAATTAGTCATAAATGATGGATATAGTAATCCCAAAACAAAAACACTTCATCATTATTCTGACTACCCCATCATTTAAATTGTCTGAAATGTACGTCCCAAATCGTGGAAACAACCACACTCCGTTCTCTGCCACGTGGTGTTCCGGCCTGATGTCCGACGCTTCGCCGCATTCGCTAGGAGCTTGAAGACGAGTTCCCAGGACGCAGAAGTATAAAAACCTAACGCTTCACTCATTAAAGTGGCACCCAGAGAAAAGTGCCCAATGAGCACGCAGCACGGAGGGACCCCAAACGTGAGGGAGGGGGTGGGGACCGCCAGAGGCTGCCGGACTGGATGTTGAAATGAGGAAACACGTCGCCGGCTTTACAAAGTCACACAGAGAGGAGGCGGTTAAAATTTGGTTACGTCTGCCACCCCTCCAGGGCCCAGTTTGCTCGTGAGAAAAAAAAAACACAGGCCACCTCCGATTCACACGGTTGGCTAGGTATGCTGCAAAGAAGTACAACATATAGAACATACATACGTGGTAAAACAGTGACTAAGTACCGTAAATTAATTTAACCTTCACATTCATTTCACCCCCCCCCCCCCCCCCGCTCAGCAGGTACAACGTGAAAATAATCACCCGTCTGTCTCGGTTAGTTTCTGTACACTGGCACAAACTCTGCGGTCACCCATTCAACATGCAGTATTATTTCACGGCAATTATGAAATTAATCCGGTGGTGGGAATCGAACCCGGGGTTCCTTTCTGGAGTGTGCTCAACCCTCGGCAACACTGTCACACAGAGGAGAGAGAGATGTGGGCCACATGCCACTCACCCTGGCTGTCTCCGTGCCAAACACCCCGTAAGCATGGGCCATGTTTACTGGGTGCTAATCGCAACGTGCACTTAAAGGCGAACGCATCACACAAAACCCCGATATAACATCGCATTTACGCACACCTATAACGCGCAGTTGTGATGCGTTTCGGGTTGTTATTACACGCGTTTGAGCCTTCGTTGATGAGAATAAATACATTCAAGAAAAACATTGGACGTGCGTGTCATTTTAGCTCCCAGATGTCGTTACTGCGTACATGTCCTTGGGCTCAAAGTGGCGTCACGCATGACCGTCGAATTGCATTTTTTTCCCTCTCTCTTAACAACAAATCTCAAAACAAATGTCCGCCCACACACCCAAAGTGACAACTCTTAAAAGAGATATTTCATTCAATGAAGCTTCGACAAACAGTAAGGGAGTGGTAGTGTAGTGGTTAGCGCTACGCTGCGCTATGAACCTGGCGACCCGAGTTTGATTCCCGCTCACGGTCAACACCCAGTGACGATTATCTGAACCGGTCCTGGGCCTCCCCTAGGTCGACTCAGCCTCAAATGAGTACCTGGTGCGATATGTGAACACTGCCACCAGGGATACAAAGGCGGTCGGGCGTGGTGTTGGCCACCCACCTCCCCGTGTGCCGTGCCGGCCTTAATAGGTGCTCGCTAACAGCACTTGCCCCCACAGTCTGTTGAGGCTACACGGGGGATCTTTGTGACACATTGTAAAGAAGGAGCGGTGAGTGTTGGGTGTGTGCGTGTTGTCTATTCCTGTAAAGGAGTGTTTCATGGTCGTGTGCTGTGTGTAAGAGGGAGATAAGAGAGTTGGGGGGGGGGTAGTTCTGATGAATTGTGAGTACGCACGTTGAAAATGGGGTGGGTGATCATCATAAAAAGGGGGGCACGACGACGGGGGGTGTGGGTGAATGTTGTGTACACGTTGTACACGTTCGTTTATTGTTTTGACACTTTTTCAAAGAGAGGCTTCGGCTGGGAGATGCAAGGCTTAAAGAGGGTGGGAGTGTTACCAGGATCTTGTTCCTATGTGGGGGTACAAGGGGTGACAATGGTCAAAGTGGGAGCAACCAGGTGCCTACTCGGCCTCAATTGAGTGGGGAGACAAAGGCGGCCGGGCGTGGTGCAGGCCACCCACCCCCCTCTCGTTAACAGCACTTGCCCCAAAAGACAATTGAGGCTATTACGGGAGCTGTGGAGGGGGGGGGGGGGGGGGAGGATCTTTGTCTTTGGTTTGTGTGGCAGAGGAGGAGGAGGGGGGGGCGTAAGAGACGGTGGTTGTGAAGGGGTCAAGAGTTGATATCAGCCTCTGTGGAGTTGTGGGGGAGCAATGGAAAGGGGGGCGCTGGGCAGGTAGTGAGGGTTGGGGGGGGGGGATAAACAGGGGGGGGGGGCTCGAGACTCGCGTATAAGGAACTGGGACACAACAGAGGCAGGAGACGGGGGGGGTCTGTGATTAAGTTTCACGTGTGTGTGTAACTGGGGGGGGGGGGGGTGATTAAGTTTCACGTGTGTGTGTAACTGGGGGGGGGGGGGGGCACGAGTGAAGGAAGTGAAAGGGGAAGATGAATGTCCGGAAGTGTGTACACACGTGTGTGGTGTGTTCTGCAGCACGTGTGTGGTTCACGTGTGGTGTGCCCTGCCGGCCTTCATAGGTGCTCGCTAACAGCCCTTGTCCCGACAGTCTGTTTACAGGCTATACTGGCGTCTCTGGCTTTGTACATGCGTGGCACTGAATTAACACAGGTGTAGATCCATTCATTACATGTATGTGCATGTCGGTTTAATGTGAAGGCGTATGCAAATACGGTACACGTATAAGGTAATCAGGTGGGTGTGTGTGTGTGCAGGTGTTCCTGCGTAGGTATATGTAAATACGGTTTGTGCATTGGGTTATGTGCTTATGCCTGGTATGTCTGCTCTAATTACGTATCATGTATGGGCGCTGTATGTATGTTGTATGTATGTTGTACGTATGTTGTATGTGGAGTGGTAGTGTAGTGGAAAATGCGGTGCGCCGCGATGCTGGCGACCCGGGTTCGATTCCAGTGACGATTATCTGAACCGGTCCTGGGCCTCCCCTAGGCCGACTCAGCCTCAAATGAGTACCTGGCGCGGTGCGCAGTCTATGAATGTACTAAGTATTGATACAGTGTGTGTGCTGTATGTACTAAGTATTGATACAGTGTGTGTGCTGTATGTACGTAGTCTATGAACGCAGAAAGTCCATAATCCGAGCACGACGTGTATCGATCTCGCGTTGCCCACCACCACCACCCACACACCACCCCCCCCCACCACCACCCCCACCCCCCACCACCACCACCCCACCACCCCCCCCCCCACCACCACCCCCCCCCCACCACCACCACCCACCCCCCCCCACCACCACCACCACCCCCACCCCACCCCCCCACACCACCACCACCACCCCCCACCACCACCACCACCACCACCACCACCCCCCCCCACCACCACCACCCCCCACCACCACCACCACCCCACCACCACCACCACCACCACCACCCCCCCCCACCACCACCACCACCCCCCCCCACCACCACCACCACCCCCCCCACCACCACACCACCCCCCCCCACCACCACACCACCCCCCCCCACCACCACACCACCCCCCCCACCACCACCACACCACCCCCCCCCCCCACCACCACCACACCACCCCCCCACCACCACCACACCACCCCCCCACCACCACCACCCCCCCCCCACCACCACCACCACCCCACCACCACCACCCCCCCCCCACCACCACCACCACCACCACCCCCCCCCACCACCACCACCCCCCCCCCCCACCACCACACCACCCCCCCCCCCCCCCCACCACCACACCACCCCCCCAGTGTTGTGCACTGCCAAGGCGCGTGCCTTTACCACGACGTTCGCCTTGCTCAGGCAGATGGATCCGCGGCAGCCGTAGGCGGAGTCGCTCTCGTTCTTGTAGTAGCTCAGGGTGCTGTCCCGCAGCTCGAGCCAGCGCTCCTGCCACCCGTGCAGGTAGTTGGTCCACTTGCTCAGCGAGCCCACGCGGCGCTCCACGCACGGAGGGGGGGGGGAGAAGCCTCGGCGAAGGCGACGGACATCAGGTCGTCCACGTCCTCATGATCGTCCTCGTCGCCGACCTCGTCCGAGGAGTACTCTGGGCTCTGCTCGTCACACATGGCTCGCTCGTTCTGCTTCTTGTTGTTGTTGTCGCGCTGCTTGCGAACACGACGGGTCTCCTTGCTCGCTGTCACTCGCTTAGTCTCTGCCCCCCTCTCTGTCTCACAGTCTCTGCCCCCCACTCTCTCTCGCTGTCTCTGCCCCCCACTCTCTCTCGCTGTCTCTGCCCCCCACTCTCTCGCTGTCTCACAGTCTCACAGTCTCTGCCCCCCACTCTCTCGCTGTCTCTGCCCCCCACTCTCTCTCGCTGTCTCTGCCCCCCACTCTCTCGCTGTCTCACAGTCTCTGCCCCCCACTCTCTCGCTGTCTCTCACAGTCTCGCAGTCTCTGCCCCCCACTCTCTCTCTCTCGCTGTCTCTCTCTTAGTCTCTACCCCCCCCCCTCGATGTCTCTCGCTGTCTCTGCCCCCCACTCTCTCTCTCGCTGTCTCTGCCCCCCACTCTCTGTCTCTCGCTGTCTCTGCCCCCCTCTCGCTACTCGCGCCGCTGTTGCCGCTGCTCCGCTGACACTCTGGGAGGGAGGGAGGGGGGAGGGGGGCGGCGTTGTGTGTGCGGGCGGTGACGTCACGCGGGGAGTGGCGTCGAGGTTGAGGGTGGGGGCCGTGGGGGTGAAGGTGAGGGCCGTGAGGGTGGGGGAGGGGTGAGGGTGGGGGCCGTGGGGTGAAGGTGAGGGTGGGGGCCGTGGGGTGAGGGTGGGGGGATGGGTGAAAGTGAGGGTGGGGGCCGTGGGGGTGAGGGTGGGGGGAGGGGGTGAAGGTGGGAGACGTGGGGGTGAAGGTGGGGGGAGGGGTGGGGTGGGGTGAGGGTGAGCGCTGTGAAGGGATACCACTGGAGATCTATGAAAAAGAGCTTTATAGCTAATCGGATTTCTCCAGCATGAATACCTCTTCTGATAATTGTGATGTAGGGGTATAATAGAGTGTGAGGGAGTTGGAGGTGAGGCTGGGAGTGAGGGTGAGAGCTGTGAGAGTCTAAGCGGGGATGATTATTGAGATAGTAGAAATGCCACAATTTTATTCAGTGATATGGCGTTATCTTTTTTTCTTTCTCACACCATGGAGGCCCCTATGTATGCCTCTGAATTTTGTCTCAAGAGCAACAAGGTTTGATTTTTCTCAGATAAGAGTTTGCTTGTTGTATGTAGCGATGGTCAAATCAAGAAGATGTCACGTTCTTACCTAGTGATTCCTCACACCTACGACTCCAACACTAACCCTGCCACATTGATATTTGATTTACAAATAAAAACTGAGTTGCAAGTCATTGAGAACTGTGACCATACTTCACCACGCAGGTTTGTGTTGAATCTTTTCTCATATGCGATGTGTACCATTTTCATTCACCTCTCTCCATCCTTTTCGAGGAAAGCAGAATTCATATTTTAGGAATAGGGGCCGTTTAGAGTTGATGGAAGTTCACGCTTTAATAAAATCATATCGCATCCAAAGAAATAGGGATAGAATTGAAAATACATACGCGGAGTCGTGTCAGGTTCGTGATCTAATAAAATTTGGGTCTGGTTGCGGGTCTAATTAAAGTGGGTCATGTCCGCATTGGGGTCGGATGAAATTGGATTGGGTCAGGTAACAGGTCTGGTTGTAATCGGGTCAGCTTGGGTTGTGGGCCTCATGAAATCAGGTCAGGTCATTGCCGGTCAGGTCAAAGGTCAAAAAAGATTAGACCGGCGCAGGACTCGACATCAGATTATGCATTGGGAAGTTATTAAAGGGGACTGCATTTAACACTTGAAAATATGGTGAGAGGGCAAGAGCAGGTTGTAGTGCATCATTAGACCTCCTTTGCCAGTACCAAAATATAATAATAGGGGTTTCCCCCTTTTTTCTCGCAACAAAACTGAAACCTTTTTACAAGGATTCATGTCTGCATTAACCACAATACTTGCAGTCAAAATGCAAACAACAAACATACTTTTGATAATATATGCATTGTCTTTGAGGCTGTACGCCTTTTGGCGTCCTCTTGTCGAGCACCAATTGGGTCGAGGCTCAAAAGAAAGCTGTCCCTTGGTGTGGACCAATCAGTTTCAAGGACAATGCATATATGTTCATAGTGTGTTTTTGTTTGCAATTTGACTGCAAGTATTGTGGTTAATGCAGACATGAATCCTTGTAAAAAGGTTTCAGTTTTGTTGCCAGAAAAAAAAGGGGAAAAAACATTATTACAGGTTGGAGTGCTTTTATATAAAACTAGAATTGATAATGAAAAAAACACATTACAATGAGCCTTGAGGGGAACGTTTTTAATCAATGTATATATGATTTGTCATGAAATATGATTCAGAAACATGGACATTAGCAAATTAAATTAAACAAAAGCGGAAATGTGTGCCAATAAGCATGGAGTGGGTGCATGCTTGTCATTACACCAAGAAACAGGAAAAGCAACAAATTGAATTGACAAAACATGCAAGTTAAAGACGTCGCAGAGGCTTTTGGTTAACTATCGAACAAAGACGATCGCCGCATCGCGCACTTCCAGATGTGCTTTTCCTTCCGATATTAGGACTTTTAAATCATGGAGATTGAAAACTCATTTTAACTGCTTTTTCTTTTCTTCTCGCGCACCTCTTGACTCTTGATTAACGCGGTTGGCTGCGTACGGTGTGAAAGAAGTTCAACATACACATTGTTAAAAGGAATGATGATGGATAGTGGTCGCGACTAACTGCTGCAAATGAATAATAGAATCAGCTCATTTGGATTGTGGCATCCACAATACCGCAGATGGCGACGGTGTGGGGATGCCTTCATCCAACAGTGAATAGAAATGGCTGATAATATAATTGTTTCAATCAGCTGTACAAGCTGTACTAATGCAGGTTATTAAAGTATCTTATATCATCTTTAGATACATTGCTGCACAAGGAAACACTCTAAACACGGCAATAGCAATAACATTACACGTTGAAGTTATGCCTTGATTAGCACTTTTAACACTTTTGGATTATTCAATCTTCTGAATTAGTCACCCTTTATAAGACACAAAATTTACTTACCCTAAATTGCACTTCATTTTCATAAAGTTAATCACACCCTCTCGTTAATTATGCAGAATTGATGCTGAACTCCACCTGACTTTCAAGATTATTATAACTCTTGTTGATTCAGCTGTGGAATATGCGTGCGGCCCTGAATGTAGGATGTTGTATTTTCAGAAGCGTGGCCAAGGCGCTTCCACAAATGTAATGTAAACATGCGCAGGTGGGCAGAGAGGACGGTCCCAATTAGATGTTGTCGTCACGTGAAGTATTGCAGACAATAAGGGTCCCACCCAACTCATTACGCTGCAGCTGTTGAATTTAATTCCGCGGAAGCCCTTTTACATTAAGTAGTTTAATGTGAACCGATTAAGCATAGCAATATTGAACAAGATGGCTAGCCATCGAACAAAGACGGTCACTGCATCGCGCGCTTCAGATGCGCTTCTGCGGCCGTCTGGAACGCTCTTCCTTCCGATATTAGGAAGCCACTGGAGCTATGAACTTTTAAATCTAGATTTAAAACTAATTTCTTTAAAACTGCTTTTTGTGTTTAGTTTGTTGTCCCACCCCAGTACTCTCAATGATCGCGATTGGTGCGAAATAAGTTCAACATACATAGAAATAGTTTACATCTTACAGCAGGGTTACTATATGCAATTGTATTTATCAGGTAAAATAATGTTAAAAACATTTGCCTACTTTTAGAAACATGAAATTGGGTTAAGCAGCAGTTAGCACACTCAGTGACACACCTGGCAACTTGACTTCAATTCCCGGGCATGCCTAACATCATTGGCTGATCATTATTATACATAAAACTACTAATAAACTGTACCTTTCGATTTAAAGCTTTCGTGACTGCAGGGATTCATCTTAATATGCATGGAATTATATGAATGTACAATATCTTTTATCGACATTTGTATGAAGTATCTTTATAATGATTTTATGATGTATTAGGTAAACCTATAATGCATAGTTTTACGTATTTTAGCAAGTGTTGCTTATGTATTGACCAGAATATGTCGTTTGATCACCAAGTGCAAAATATAATCAAAATATAGTCAGTTTTCCTATCAGGGCTCTATTACACATTCCACCACTATTGAGTTGTGACATAGCCAACACGGTGGCGTTAGCCTAAAATCGACAAGGCTCGATTATTGCAACCTCACTATTCTATGGGACGTATGGCAAACACATTGCCAAGCTACAGCGTGTACAAAGTTCTTTGGCACGTGTCGGGACAGGTCCTGCAAGATCCGACCAGTGGCTCGCTCGCTGAGCACTCATCACACATAAAGTGCTTGCCACAATTGAACCACAAAACATTGCTGATCTCATTAAGGAGCATAAAACCATCACGCAAACTCCGGTCATCCTCGAAGCGACTTTTGGATAACCATCGAACAAAAATGGTCACTACTTCCAATATAACTTTTACATCTAGATTGAAAACATTTCTTAAGAATAGCTTTGTTTGATTAGCGCGGTTGGCTACGTGAGGTGTGAAAGAAGTTCAACATACATTGTCCAAGTTGTGTTGCATGTAATAGGTTCATGTAACCGCAATGTAAAAAAACAACAACCGATTATTGAATCAAATTGTTACAACCCTACGCGTAGGGACTTGGGACTTTAGACAAGTTTTGGCTCGTGGTGGGTGGGTGGATGCTGGTGGTGCAGACGAGGTTGCAGGTGTCCTTTCATGCTTATTGGCAGAGGAGGAATTGTTTGTTGTTTTAGTGTGCGGGAGGGTGGGGTGCAGCTGATTTGCTAAAAGTCTCATGACTGGTGGTTCAGAGGTCAAACTTCTGAGCTTTCACTGCCGAGAGGCTGTGGTAGAATCCAGGCAGCTCCCTGCGATTAAATCGGGGTCATTACAGTAATGAGTTGGTGGCCTCAGCCCAGTCGCTCCAAAAAAGCTCATGAAATAGAAGATTGCTCCGCACTTAATTTGACTAAATTCCAACATTGGAAACTTAAAATATTAGTTTACATGTCATGCCATAAACTTTTATCTCTGTAGCAGGGCAGGAAATAGAATTCTGACTGAAGCTCTATGGACCAGATGTCATTATAATGGTCTCAGAAGCAGTTCTCTTA